GACGCTTAACCGACTGCGCCACCCAGGCGCCCCAAAATTTTGCTTTCTTAAAAAAATTTCCACATCACCAAACTTAAGACTATAACATAAAGTCCCTGGTTCTTTCTACTCATCAGAATTACCTGAGTATGCAGAAGTTCTTCTTGAAGCTGGTCAATTTTCTCTTTGTCTGTAACCTAAACATTTAAAATAAATTAATTTTATTTCCAGAGAAATGGATTTATGTAAAATGGGCACGAAGTTAAATTTTTTGAAAAGTATTTTTGAAAATAAATACTGACTTTATCTGCATATTTGATCAAAGCACATTTTAAATCAAGTGATTAATGAATAAAGTAAAAAAAAAAAACTATATTCACTACAATTGCTCATCAAAATTTCATAACTGTATTCATAAGTAAAAGCCTTAAAAAGCAATCACTTTCAGGATGCTATTCTAGTGATTTCTGATGAATGAGTTGTTATAAAATGAAGAGACCAACACACGGTCACTACCATTTTCGTAGGCTGTTTTGTTCTCAAGGACAGGCATTTGATGCTTGGAGAAAAAGGGCACAGATACCTACAGAATGTGTTCAGGGAACTTATACAGGCTAGGCTATCATTTATAGCTACTGACAAAATTCATTGGTCATAGTGATATTTAAGCATATATTACGCCTTTCTATTCTATAAGTAGGGAAGTATTTAATAAATGCAAAGACCCTGTATTTTCAGAGCTTTACGTGGAGCCTGATGCTGGTTTTTAAATTCAGTTCCAGTACAAGATCTGCTAACCCATAATACAGTGAATGCATCAGTAGCAATAAAGTTGAGTAAAGCAACTAAAATTGATTGAAATATAAAACAAAAGTAGGATAAAATCTACAGCTATTGTGGAAACTACTTCCAATTGTTATTAATGCTGATAACTCTAAGATAAGATGCCCCAAAACAACATAGAACTTTATTGCATTATCAGACTATAGTCACAATACAATTCTAAATATGAAACGCAATGATCAATTTTAATTAAAATGATGTCAATTATGGCAAATCCATGTAACTGTGCTTTGACTCCTTGGTGAGGTAAAGTTGTCATACTCAGTCTTTGAAAAGAATGATCTAATTTCTAATAATCAAAACTTGTAAACATGAATTTATTTCATAGGAGACAAAACTCAAGGTAAAATTCATGTAAGTCCTTGTTCACTTTCATTCAATGGCTATTCAAGCAATCAAGATATCATGGTAGCAAATATATACGAAAAAATTTTAAATGATTTGCTTCTTGAGGTAGATATTAGTAACTCTTAATCCATACAATAAAAATTTATTTTGCAGTTTTAATTCCTATTTCCAAATACTTTCCCAAAATAATCCTGAAATTTCTTGTAAATAAAAATGACAATGCTTGCTACAAATGGTAAGTATATTATTTTTTCCTTAAAAGTCTATGCCTAAAAATCTCCAAATGTGATTCAGTAATTAGAAGAAAAGAGAATATAAAACAAATTTTGTATTGCTGTTTTCTCATTCTTATATAGCAAGCAGACACTTATGAAGAGAACTTTTCTCATTTGATTGTGTTTGTATAAAATGGACAAGAATTATTAATAGTCGCCTAAAATGTGAGGAAACAAGCAAGTTGGGGAGGAACCAACAACCCAAAGAACAAAATCTTGAAGACCAATGAAGAAATAAATTCTTCCATATTGTTTTCATGTGGCATGCCATCATACTGTAATAATGCACTCATAAAAATGTTATGCATATTAAATTCCCAATTCATTTTAAAAGGTACTTGAATTAATTCTGTTCCATTAAATGCTCATCTGACACTAGCTAAATTATTATTATGAAATTATATAAACAGTATTAGCATAAACTGTTTTAGTTTTGAATGTGAATATTTCATGACTTCATGCAATATGTCCTTAATTACAATAGAAAATCCAGTGTTAGTCTACATCTGGGGCAAGAGTTAAGAAACTAATACAATTACACAAAAAGTTAGAATGCTTACTGTAAGCCAAGGACTATAAAAGGCTAACTCGGTAATTTGGTAAAATAAAAAGGGTATATAAAAGGTTAAAAGGATATAAGGTTACTAGAATATTACAAATAACAATCTTTATGCTAATATTAGAATTTAGTAATGATGACTGTTAAGATTTTTATAAATTCAGATTTTTAGGAGTATTTAGATTTATCACTTGCCCTTTCTGGCACAAGTGTTAGGCATGACTCATGCACAGTTTTATCAATATGCTTCCTATCTGCTTGGTTTAATGGAACATCAAAAGTAACATCGTATTAAAAGACAGGTGGTGGTGGAGTCAAGAATTAGACCTCACATTTTCTAGGAAACAAGATGAAAACCTTTAGGTTTACAAGATAAATATTAAAGATACCAAGAAGATACTTTTACATATTTTCTTAAGGGAACAGCACATGCTATTTTTCACCTATCACTTATTCAATATCTTAACTGGCAGTCAGTATATTTAATGTTGATGCACTTTGCTGGTAAAATTCAGCTACTTACGACAGGAGTTCAGTTCTTGCCCTGTTGTTTAACATACTGTTTGCATTATGAAATTTAAAACTCACCCTGACAGAAATGGGTATCAATGGTCTTGAAACCAGAGCTTTTCTACAATTCCAGGGCTGTGAAACTGATGGAGAAAGAGCGGAATCCTCCGCAGAAACAAGCTAAAGCTGAAAGAGAAAAACCTTTACTAGCTCCTCACAAAACCAAGCCTGATTTTTAAATTTTAAGTATTTCTTCCTACTAAGCCATTGCGGCCATTCTGAAATAGCAAAATATACATATAAGGGACTCGCAAACATTTCCATGTACGTGTACGCCCCTGCATGAGCTACAGGGACAGTTTATTAGCTGCTACTATAAAAAATGAAGGCCTACTTACATTTCAAGAAGGTAAGGAAGGATGATTAAAAATCAACAAAAAGCTGTGGCTTTGTACCTTAAGAAAACCTCACACACCCAGAGGAATGCTATAAATCTCATGAATTAGGATTGGGATCATGAGGACAGTGAAGGGCTGAAAAGTCACCTGTGTACCAACTACAGGGGGAATCGGGGGAAGATGCAGTAAGGAGTATGACATCATCATAGAAGAGCAGGAATTGTTTTTAAAGTTCCATTTACTTTCACACAACTCCAAAGTGGGCCAGACTGTTTGGTGCTCTCCTAAGTATGCCTTAATAAACAAAACAGACGGAGGTACAGTCCTATCAGTTGCTATTTTACAAAAGGGGGAAATGAGGAATAAAATGGTTAAATGAATAATCTGAAAACATCAGAAATGAAATGGTATCACTAAACCTGAAAGCAGGCTAGAAAGTAGGCCTCAAATGAACATCAAATTTGGGCAATGTAGAAAACGAACATTATTCACTACTAATATCCCTTAAAACATCAGGTTCAAAAGTATATTGATAATCTTAAACTGTATCTTAAAATCTTAAAATGGAAGGCAGATCTATGGGACTCATTTCAAATTCTTTTACCATTATGAAAAAACAAGAACAACTTGCAGCTAGAGCTATCCATATTTCTAACTAACATACCAGAATATAGTAGTTCCTTTGCCTTCTTTCTGTAACAAAGCTAAGGAACAGATGGTTGGCTTTAAGCATCCAATTTGTTAGAATATTTAAATGGCACTTCAACAAAATACAGAACAGAGAATGCTAAAGCACAATTTAAAATAAGCCCTTCCTTGGTTTAACACATCTACTTTAACTTAACCAAACAGGAAAATAAGTTATTTTCTGTTTCCACCTATGTTGTTCGCTCACTGAAAGCTAAATATACAGGAGTTGATTCCACAGCCCTGGAATTGAGAAAAGCCAGGAAGTGACACTGAAAAGATAAATGAAACTATGAGGCATACTTTCAAATATTACCATCACCAAATGCGATAAGGTTAGTAAGCAAATTTATTGCATTCAATCATTATCTATAGTATTGGGTAACTTCAGTATCAGAACCTACAGGAACCTAATTAAATGGCTGAATTTCTTTTCCTGAATAAAATCTGTATACGACTTTAAAACTTTCCCGATCTAATATATGCAACATAATTAAGCTGATGTTAAGATCTCAGAATATAACTTTAAAATCATTACATTCATTGCATTTTGACTCAAGCCCCTTCAGAACATTAACCTTGAGATCTACACCATAAGATCATGTAGCAGCTGAAAGCATACTTTTAAGGACTTCTTGACTGTACCAATAACCAAACATTTATATAGATTTATGCTGACTTTTATTAGAATCTGTTTTTTAGCAACCTCAATTATATCAACTTTCCAATGTTCAATCCTTCAGTCATCCGAGGTGAAAATTTATTTGTGCTGACTTCACAACTGTGGAAAAACTTAATGAGTTGATCAAGGTATATAAGAATAATTTTGCCCAAAATTTACATCAAAACAGTTTTCTTCTGTAAGAAATAACAGTATTTTCTGCTGATTCATTTTACTAAAACTATAATTTTCATTGTTTAAATAATTTAAATTGTGGTCATCCACAGTAATCCCTTACATTTTAGAAATGAAAACTTGGGAGAACCACAGATAAGTGGGCTACAAACCTAGGATGACTCAATAACTGGACCAAGTAAATCACAATTCATAATTCTTTTCTAAATACAAATCCGTGCTCCCTCACAGATCATCTCATTTCAGAAAATAAATTCTATGTTTAACATTTTGCATTTGCTTATCCACTCTAGGAAAGTTACATATTTGTATTATATATCTTTCAAATTTTTATTGTGTCAAAAATAATTACTCATAATTGGAGTCCATGAAGGTATTAAGATGACATGATCTTGGCTGAAATGGCTGATTAGTGTGAACACATCAGTAGCCCCCTTAAACCATCCATCACCTTGCGCTTCTGTTGGGCATAGCTTGTGCTATACTGGCCAGCGGCTCTGCGCGCTTCCTCTTCATGCTCTTGAATTTGCTGTTGTAAGAGAATGAGCTCACCAAGCAGACCCTGCCATGAGTTTACAATGAGGAGAAGAGGAAAATTGGGGAGGAGAACAATGTTAAACCAAAGGGCACAAGCAAGGAACAGATGTAATTTAAGGAAGAAGGGATAGCTTACAACAAAAATGGAAACACGTTTATGTACCTTTAGAAAGCCACCATATAATAGGGCTCTGTATCACGTTTCCATTTTTCCCCTCAGTAAAATTAGATGTCTCAGAAATATAAAACAGCAGAGTTTAAAAAGTGAAAAGAAAATGCAATGTGGCTGTCGGCTGAACAAAGTGAGCCAGATGTATAATATTAATATACAGTAAAACCTAGACTAACTGGAATGCTCAAGGCAAGTGGCATTGCAGTTAACAACTGATTACCTCAACCCTTAGTTCTGAATTGCCAATATGAACTAGTGTATGCTCCTGACTTGAAACATAAGGGGGAAAAAATCTTTTAATTGTCAACCATAATTCTCATAAAACTGAATGGAGAATACATCATAGTTTAATTATTAAATTATTATGTATTTGTTCTTTGATATCTGATGTCTTCAATTAAAGACCATAGCCCCTCAAAACTATTAATTTGAGTTTCCAAGCATCAAGTTAATCAAGGTTTTACATTAATTCATATATTCTACATGCCTATACATACAAGCTTATCTGACTAAAATTTAGTTGTTTTTTTTTTTTTTTTGCAAATTAACAAATAATGTTTGAGGCACTGTTTTAACTTTATACAACATAAAATAAGTAGTCTGACTGAATTTTCACTTTTTATGAGCTGTTTTGACATTCAGTAAAAATAGCCTCTAAGAATATATCAATTACTAGAGCAAAAGCACTATAAAAGAACATAGTTAGGATTTGGAAATAATACAGTTATTATGAAAATTTAAAATGAAACAAAACCTAGTTTGGACCTGTGTACAACACAATCAACATTATGTTTATAATTCATTCCACTTAAAAATCATGACATGCTAACTAATGTAATTTTTATCACAATGTATTTACATGTGGCAGAATACCCAATACATGTCATTTTCTGTATAGTATTTTTAATTGCTGGCCTATTAGATAATAGCCCTCAAGAAATGACAACAGAGAAAAAGACAACAAAGAATTGAAAATGTCACAAGCCTAATATTTTCTCAATTAGACACCTCAGTGAATGAAGTCACTATTTAATCTGCACAGGAAGAGTGTTCTGGGAAAACAATGAACTCAATTTTTACCAAGTTATAAAAATAGAAAGAGCTAGGAAAACTAATACTCATTAAAATAACCTACATTGGGAGTTTCAAATAGCTTCAGAGCTTTTTAAAATAACTGCCCAAAATATTACATTTTATATAATACAACTAGGACGTTTCTTGAAATACTGGTTAACATTACATTCAAATTTTAATTAGTAGACTCATCCAGGGGCTTAATAACTTACTTTATTAAGCCAAAGACTTCTATAAATAAAAGTTTTCCAGAAAAGAAGCAAATACAAATAGGATAGGTACTATTATAGTAAAGCATTTTAAATTAAGGGAAAGTATTAGCATATAATTGGGGAATTTTTGTTTGACTCTTAGTTTTAATACATTAGGCCATGCCAACAATAATGAAACTGGATGACTTACTATAAATCAAAGGATGAGACTAGTTGATATTTCTATAGGACAAGTGAGAGAACATCAAAATGGCAAGTAACACAACTGAACTGTCAACATCGGTTTCCAAATTCAATAGCAGAAAATATATTTATAAAAACCTGTGGCTACCTTTAAAGATATCTCTTTTAAGTTAATACTTTATGGTCATTGATACATCTATCAAAGAAAGACAATGCCAACTGACTACCCTCATCATTTACCTAATTATCTGTCATTTTTTCATTTTCTGTATCATTGCTTTTCATGAAGCAGAAAGAAGAATAATCCAACTTATTTTTAGTCATTTACCATAACAACTTCTAATCATCCGAGTGTTTAGATGTCTCAAAGTAATACCCTTTTAAAGGTTTCCTGTGCTGGCTTATATAGTAGTGTACCTAGGCTTTAATTAACATACCACCAGTACTCTATAAGATGTCAAAGCAGTGAGCAAATATTCCACATTTCTTAACTATGCTTGCTGGTCTATCAGGTACAAGATTTTTTTTTTACTTACAGCTTAAACATCCTTCCCTAATCCATTGCTTCTATCTACATACAAATTATATGGCTAATACTTAATATCTATTACATTATAAGAAAACACCCTCTTTCTAGTAACACTTCACTTTCCTTCCAAGTCTGTTACTGAAGCACTGTTATGTGAAGATAGCTGAAATTAACTGTTACCTCCTAAAAAAAGTAGGAAGAAAACAAGAATTAGACACAGAGAAAACTATTCACACTATATTACATGACTAAAGGAGGTTACCTCTATCCAATTTTGGACATCAAATCTCACCCTAAATACTGAGTGATGGGCTACAGGCTATACAGCTTCTGAGCTAAGGCCATGTGGAATAAGGAAGGGAAAGAAATGTGTGTAACTGCTATGCAAGACACATTCCTTAAACAGACAAAATATAATAAATATCTTCCCAAGCTCAGATAGTTTTCTCTCAAGAAACAGCATGTAATTATGTTAAAATCATATACATTAAATATAAAACATAGTAATTGTAAATAATGATAAACAGTAAAAATAAACAACGAACAACTACAGATGATACACTCTCTCAAGAGTTATTGCCAATTTGACACTGCAGCTCTTCCAGTCTCGTATTTCACGTACAGTATTGTCAGACTTTTAAAAAATTATAACATCAGGTCAAGAAAATCAGTGATAACTCCAAAAACCAAAATATCAACTGAATACGCTGTGAAAATCTAAAAGTTAATGAGTTTGATAGGAAAGATTTTAAGACACTTTAAAATTATTTGTCATTTATATGTGAACACATTTAAGACACTATATTTTTAACAGTATTTTAAACATTATAGCAGAGCTGGACCCTTATCCCGTTCGTATATTTATCTAGCACCTAGAATAACGTCTGACACTTTAGGTATGTGTTACAGCTGATACCTAAATTAGGGCTGAGCACATGTTTGCTCCTTGAATGAATCAAATTATGACCTACTTTTACCTAATAATGCACACAAAGTTTCCAGTATAAAATCCAAATTGGGTTTTGGAACAAATGTGTATTCTGTAAATAAGCTACACATCAGCCCGATGATCTATTTTCCCAGTTTTCACAGTCCTCAGAACAGACTCCACGGAAATTACGGGGAGGAAATTAATCAAATAATGTGAATAGGCAATTAACTGATGGAATAATTCAAATTGTAAGGTAATAATGATCATGGTCATCAACATCACCTTAATTTTTATTATGTGCAGATTTTGTGCTAAAGGGCTACAAAACTCTCAAAACAATCCTATCCAGTAGGGTTTCCCCCTTCTACAAAAGAGGAAATCAGTAACTCAAAGAGTTTGATCTTTTTCAAGATCACCTAGCTCAGAAAGCAGGAAGGACAGGATCTGAATGCAGACAGTGTGACTACAGTTTACACCTGATACCATCCTGTTGACACGATGGTCTAGCTATTTCCAAAGTGGCTTTGATCCCATCAGGTTCAATCCACATTTAAAAAAAGAAAATGGTAACAGTACAACACATCAGAAGGCATATTTGAACTACTAAGAAGATGGGCTGCCTGAATAGTCCACAGAGACCTTAAAGCCTGCAAACGTAAGATACCTGGCCCTTTAAAGAAAAGTGTGCCAACCCTGCTTTATTAGTTTTAAAAGTAACTTGGGTCCAGAAAAGAACTTTATGAAAGTGAAGACTTCTTTCCCCTTCCATTCAAAAATACTCCTAGGCATTAAACTACTTTTCAAAATTTGAATAATTCTATTTGATTAGTTAAAAATAACTATTTTCTGGGGCGCCTGGGTGGCGCAGTCGGTTAAGCGTCCGACTTCAGCCAGGTCACGATCTCGCGGTCCGTGAGTTCGAGCCCCGCGTCGGGCTCTGGGCTGATGGCTCAGAGCCTGGAGCCTGTTTCCGATTCTGTGTCTCCCTCTCTCTCTGCCCCTCCCCCGTTCATGCTCTGTCTCTCTCTGTCCCAAAAATAAATAAACGTTGAAAAAAAAAATTAAAAAACAAAACAAAACTATTTTCCTATTTTTCCCCTCCCACTAATACATAACTCTGCTCAAGGTATTTATGGCCAACTGAAAAAGGTCAATTAATGGATAGCAGAAGGAAATACATCTTTCCATTTGGATCATCCACCTTGCTTCAGTTCAGAAATACCATTTCTTATTTTAATACTTGGACAATTTCTACAATGGATAATTTTGAGATGAACAAATCAGTCTATTACCAATAGTTACTATCAATATTACAACTTCTGCCAAATCCCTTTTGTTCTAAATTGTCACCTAAAAACAGTATTATGTACACAGTATATACTTACTTAATGTTTCTTAAATGACATAAAAGCACAGTGTGCTTATGAAGCAATAAAGTAAGATTGCCTGGTTTGCCATTCCACTTTTTTTCAGGCAGATTTTCCTGGCTTTTCTTCCTCTGATCCCTCTGCCTCCCAACTACCACACTCTAGTGCACAAGTGGGTTGGCTTCCTGGCTAAGAGTCTAACCTAGTACAGTTGCTACTTAGCTGCTCAGGAAACAAGTTTACTGATCTGTGGTTACTTGATGATATTGGTTGTGAGAATTTCATTTTGCCCAAGTTACTACAGTATTTGTTGCATGAGGATCCCTAGAAATGTAAATCCTACTTAAGCAACACTGCTTCATTACAGTTTAGAACACCAAGGACATGTACCACTGTCACATTCTTGTTCTCCTCAGTAGGTGCCCAATATCAAAGGCCAAGAGAAATTCACAGGTGATCAGATCAAAACACCTATTATATAAAATTTGGGGGCCTACCAGTTGGCATGAAGTTCATTTACTTCAATTAGCCTCTCTTTTGCTGTGTCAATTTTGCTAAAAGCTCTGCTTTATCCTCGGTGTTCTGAGGACAGAGATTTTATGACAGAAATAGGCCATTAAAGAATGTAAACCAAAGTAAATAGTGTTTCCTCTGGCATCTGTTTTCATTCTTTAGAGTATAATTAATGGAACTAAAATGGTTATGGAAGGCTTCATGAAGGGGACAACAGAGCCTAGGCTTTAAGGATGAGTAAAAATTAGAAGAGGGAAGACAGAGATTTCAGCTGGGAGGTACAAGAGAAATAAAGCCACAAAAAAGGAATTAGCATAACATGTAAAAAGGAAGAACTTTAATTACTGTCTAATAATTATATTTAAAATAATAATTCCACCCTTCATGATTTGGACTTTTAAAAGGTCCTTCAAATATTTTCCATAAACTATAAATGTATTTGTAATCTTCAGAATGACCATGTTGCTTACTTCTGTGAAATGTTCATGAGCTATCAGAAACATGATAAAACAAAAGCACAAATATAATGTCTCATTTAATTTTCACTAGAACAGACAATCTTACCGAATCTAAAACAGAAGATTCACTAAGTGGTCCTGTCACCTGTCTATGTTATGATCAATATAAGGAAATCTACAGATTTACAAATTATTCATTAAAATAGGCTCACCACTTCAATTTTCAATTTGCCTTCAGGTAGTTCTGAAGGTCTCCAGGTCTCAAGGATATTATTCAGTTCACGAAGGGCTCTAATATTTTTCTCCAGTGGACACAAATTTTAAAATTTCTGATTAACGAAAAACATTCCTTGAAAAGGGTTTTCAATATTTTTCCAGTTTTTAATTTACTGATAATACATACCAGAACTTCTGGTCAACATGATAGACATACCTACTGTCTACAAACTGAATGGATATAGATCCAGACAAAGTCAAAGAAACTGATGTTTATGGTAGCTGGTGCAGTATTACGCAGAAATACATGTCTTCTGCTTTTTTAGACTTTCTGAAGACCTCAATTACAACTTTTCCAGAGTGCCTAAAAGTCTAGTGACCCCAAACTGGGAGCCACAGGTAGTCAGGTCACAGTGTTATCCATTCTGTTGGACTCAACTCAAACAATCTGACATGTGTGTGCTCTCAATTCTATCACTCTCGCTTCAGTTGACTTCGCAGGTCCTAACTTCTTCTACCTGCCCACACTCTCCACATGTGTTCTTCTATCAGAAAGGACAAATTTCCTTTTTTAGTTCCAGTTGTAGAAATGTTTTCAGTTTATTACTTAAAAAAAAAAAAAAGAAATCGGATTCACATTTACTTTTACATTTCTAGTATAAATCTGGCCAGAAATTTTGGTACAAACCAGACAACCATTAAGCTAATGCATGACTGCTTAGTGTATTCAAACTCTAAATACCACCTTCTATCTGGGACTCTCAGACAACATTCTGAACCATCAAAAAAGTATCAACTAATCTCTGGATGTCATCCTACCACCTGTGACTACTACTCAAATTTTCAAACTTAACATTGTAGAGTAATTTCAAAAAGACTTCTGCGAAGAAAGTCTCTCCTTCCGTGCTCATATTCAGCCATTAATTTGTAGATAAGTCTACTAAAGTCAGTTTATTTGCATCTTGCCTGAGTGGTTCATCATCTTCAAGTATTACAGATAAAAGTCAAGCCTTGAAACACATAATGCTGCACATTAACAGAATTTAAAACCACTAGTTGACTCTGGAAATACTTTTCTGTATAGTAAATTTTTATACTAGCATTGACTACAATTTAACTTAGCCTGTATTGAAAACAGCCTAATTAAAACTCTAGATTTAGTAATAATTGCTAGGTTTTTAATGGGCAACATAATCATCATAAAGTATGAAAAGTTAAAAGGAAATAGTATATGAGGGTATTTACCTTCAAGTAAATTATGAAATAAAGCAATAAATTTGCTTTCATGTCTACTGTATACAATAAAATCTGTGAATATAATTAAATTCCCAGTGATCCACTCTCTTCTATATTGCAGAGCTACTCATCATTTGTCAAGTATTCATTCAGCACTTTAGCAGGATTTTAAGGAAATTATGTGAGTTAGACCCTGAAACAGGTTTCTCATTCACCAAAGTGATCCTAGACCATACCAGAGAATACCAGAGGCAGACCTCGCCTACCTTATCTAGGCAAAAAGAAACCACACCGCTAATCCTATAAGAGAGCTTCCTTTCCCCCTTAGATTAGTGCCTCTCTACATATAAAATCTACCTGCATTAAGGGCCAAGTCTTTGGTTTGAAATAAGCTGTGCATAATAGGCTAATTTCTATTAAAACTTTTCCCCCCAGTAGCATGAATAGTCAAGTGTTCCTTTCGTTAAAATGCCAATGGAAAAGGTATCAACTTAAAAGGCAAACACATGTACACACATACACACACATTTTAAAATAAGTTTTCTCCAAAAGAAAGATCTAGTTAAAAGGCAAGAGAAAAATCTTTTGAAATACTAGAATTTAAACTTGGAATATCATGTAAAAAGTTCAAAGATAAAGGACAAAGAGAGAGATGGAAACCTATACATAGGAAGTATTTTCTTTCCACTTTCAAAATAAACATAAAATTATTTCCTTTCAATTTACAAAAACCATAATAACTTTCAGTATAAAAGCTACATACTCCATACTTAATTTTTAAATGTTCATAGAACATGTTTTTCAAATATCTATTTACCTACATTTTTTTTAAGAAAAACTTACAAGGAATCAGTTAACTTACCAATTCCAAAAGATGAAAAAATGAAGACTAAGAAAATGTCAAGTTAACATATGAATATAAATAGAGCAATGAATGTGTTATTTTAATTAGCAATTCTCCTAAAACTTTCATATGGATTTTAACACAAGTATTGAAATTAACACACCCTAAATAACTCCAAACACAATTGCTATTAATGTCACAGAATCAATTTATCCCCTAATAACCAATTTCCTACTCCTTTAATATTTCCCTAAGCGTGTGCCATGAAACATTAGTCCCTAAAATACATTTCACAAAAAAGGGTTCTGTTGCTAAATAAATCTGGAAAACTCTGTACACTTTGACTTCTCCTGGGATTTATAATACACATAAGTATGTGAGGTCTGAGAAATCCCAAGGAAAAGAAAAGCCTGCTTGTTTTATTTATATCAGCTTTCCCACACATATTTAACAACAAGACCCTTTGTTGAAGCCAATCCTTGAAACTAATATTTCACAACATATTTGAAGGCAATGGGCTTCTCCAATTATATTTCCAGAACTGTCACACAATACCTTTCACTTTGTACCAAGATTAACAACACCTCTACTTAGATGCTTTTATATTTGCTCCTCAGATGTTACCATTTTCAAACCTTTCATGTAGGTGAAAACTTTTTTTAACTTTCAGACTACCTGTGTGAAGAATTCTCCCTTATACTTACCTTTCTATAATGCTTGTCACTTTCAGATCCGTGATCTGTTGCTCTGAATGCTGTTTCTCCAGGTGAACCTTAAAGATAAATAAGCAGTCCTTTAAATTCTCCAGTGATATCAACAGCCGAAATTCCAAATTACGTCTAATTTAAAGGCAAATGGACTTTTATAAAACCCACTTTTTTGAAAATTAAAAACTATTCTTATTTTAAGGAACACATTGATAAGCTACACAAAAAAACCTTTGTAAATATTATAGGACATGTATAACCTATTTAAAAACAAATCACTGAAAATTACAATTAAAAAAGACAATTTCTGATGAAGATAATTTTCCAGGAGAGTACTTACAGTTCAGTCCTATATCACTGCCGTTACAGACCACATATGGTAACAAAATAAATTTAAAATGTCAAAGGGTGACAGGACAGATGAAACAAACTAAAATTACTTTTCATTTCAATTATCAGAAATGATCAGATCAATTTCAAGAAAATATTTTGGTTAAACAAACTTTCTTTTTAATACTTTTAATCTTATAGAAACGTATTTAGGAATTTTAGTTTTACTGCAAGATAATTATTTTATTATTTTCACCTGTAAGATAAGGAATTTGCCCAATAGAGTTCTGGAGTTTTAAAATTCAGCATAAGCAGCATAAATTTGGTCTGCAATTTATTTGCAACTAGTTTATTAGAAGCATTTAAAAGGCATGTTAAGGTCAGCAAAAATGTCTGTTTACACACCTAACAAGAGAAGTAGGTCAGAAGCTCCTATGACTTCACTAACCAATTTGTGACCTGTGAAAAATCAGCAAAAGGGGAAATAGAAATGTAAAATTTGACAGGAATGAGCAAACAAATGTCTGAGATCTGAGTTATATCATGATAGGGTGTGAGTTGGGCAAATACGCCAAGATCAACCTTAGTAAATTCTACTCATTACGGCCCATCATAATTAAATTTGTTTTAAAATCACCAAATCGGTTCTAACCAATTATGAAAAGCAAGCACATAGGAAGTCTAACCTACTTGTCAGGAACAAGAGATCGTTTTTTCCCTCACTGACTAAAGCCAAGTATGTTTAACCTCTTACAAATTTTCATTTTGTTGCACTAACCAAAATTTAAAACCACTGAGCAACAAAACTTTGTGTATCTGTTTTTTCAAAAATTTGTTTTTCATTTGTACTAGATGTTTTCATTTAAAAGATACGAATAAACAAATGAATACATCTTAGTATTTTTCCTCTGGGTCTTCTGACATTTTAAGTGAGATCAAACGGGTCCTTCCTTACCTGTGGTGAAAAAGTCCTTCAGTAAACTGAGGCTTTCAACAATTTTATCAAAGTCAGGTGCCAATTTTGCAAGGTCGTCTGAATTAGGAAGTGCTTTTCTAATTTTCTCTGGAGAACAAACAAAATTCTCAAAATAAGAATTTGACTATTAAAACACTGACAAAATAGAAATAATCATCATATATAAACTTAAAATATTTTTCTATTTTTCTCCCTATTACAACTATAATTGTATCTGAAACAATATGTCATTGTGATGATATTCCACAGGCCATGAAATGTTTTTAAAAAGAGTCACCAGATGTATGGCTTAGATGGAAACTTTTCATTTATAAGTTAAATGCCAGGAACTATAAGCACTGTGTTAACAATGTTAAGGCTGTATTGGAATCAGAAGTACTTTTAAGGAGAAAGTCACAGCAAAGAGGCCAAGAATCAAAGAAAATACAGAAAAACACCTCTTGAAACACCTGGTCCAAACTCGAAGACAGTAATGAAATAAAAAATAGAATTCCATTACTTTTTTCCATCCTTTCACAGACCCTAAGAAAATTCACACTTGTTAACATTTGGAAATAACTGTCTAAGAACCCATGGCAAACTTCGGTTTTATTTTTGCTGGTTTTATTTATAAAATGGTCAAAGTATTCATTTTTGTTTACGAAAATTTTGATGCTCAATTTTGTCAAAGTTTGGTACAACAGTACAGTATCTTCTAAATTAGAATGCGCTTTTCTTAATTTTCTCTGCAGAGGACTAAAATACATAAATATTCTCAAAATAAAGAGTATGTCAGATATTATTCTAAATGCTGTTACGGCACTCCCCTGTTTAATCCTCAAGGCAGCCCTACAGAACAGTTATCATCAAACCCACTTTACAGGTGAGGAACTGGGGCACTGAGGTTAAGTAGATGAGCCTGCACAACAGCAAAGAAGCAGGGAGTCAGGCTTGAGGCTGGCCAGTGCAGCTTCAGAACCCGACCCTCAGCCCCACACTGTGGTGCTGGCAAATACATCAAGGTAAAAGCTCTCCTCACGAATATTAGAAAAACATGGAAAGAATGCTACAGATTCCTGCAGATCCCTCTGTCAGTGCAGCACGGTTTTATCTTTAAGAGCTGTAAGTGCATGTAGAGAGTAATTCCACCCCCATATGCACCTAAGAAATTAAACAAACTCTAAAAAAAAAAAAAAGACTGAGGAAAGTAATTCCATTAAAAGAAAATTTTGTTTAAATCATCATAACATACTGGCAATCAGAACTATCAGATATACTTTTTTCTAATCTACCTATTATAGAAAAAGGTGAACAGTACCTGACTATGGCAAGAAATTATTACAGACTCTAGCGGGCTTGGAGGGACTTGGCTACAAAAAGTAGAAGTCACCAAGGTATCCAATAAGAAGTAACTAGTGAGGTGGGTTATGGTGCATCTGCTCTGGGTGAGAATACAGAACACTGAAAGTGATGTTCAGAAGGGCTGCTTTGGCTAACAAATGTGTTGGGCAGGAAAAGAAGCCAAAGTATATACTGTTGCCATATAACTTTTAAAAAGGAAACTAAAATAATAACCACATACACAGACTAGGTTCAATTAAAAGAAAATGTCCATGAGGATAGTAGTAGCTATGTGAAAGTGATGGACAAAGGGGTTATTTTTTTTCTACCAGTTTTTTCTTTGATATTCTATTACTTTTATCATTAAAACTGCTACACAGTGAACTCATGAGTTAAGAAACTATCTCAATACCACTATTTCTCTTTCCTGAAGATATGACCAAAAAAACGTATTTTAACGTTGATGATACAAACCTAAATCAATATACTCATCAATCTCCCACACAATGTCAGGCACAATCCATTTATAGTCACTGAGGTCAGGTATCATATCTTTCCACTGATCAAAAGTCTAAAAGAAAAGAAAATATGCCAATCGAATGTTCTGAATGTCATACAAAAAATAAAGAAAAACCACCTTAATTTATCTAATTAAAACATGCTAATCTACAAAGAGCGATACATTATGGTCAAAATTTTTGGAAACAAAATAGCCTCAGTTCCTTTGAAAACAAATTAGTAGGCAAGCGTATAGAACATGTAAGCGTCCTTTTACTAAATATGGAAAATGTAAAAATTGAAAATATATTCTTACTTCAAATAGGCTTCATGATTTACCTAAACAATACTGTGGAACAGAAGAAACACAAACCAGGGGTCAGGACACCTTGCCTCTGCTCCCAAAGCTGCCCCAAAATGGTTGTGTTAGCATGACACCTACTTTCCTGTCTGTGCTACTAAGTGGCAAGCTGAAAATCAAAGCCAGGTGACCTCACCCCACCCTAGTGCTCCTTCCACTAGGCCATTCTTACCTACTGTAATTATAACCAAGATTCAAAGAGCATTTTCCTATTTGCAACGTTAATTTAGCACATGGTAGAGATACACCATAAATTTTTAAATATTCTACTGCACTAAAGAAAAACAATTTGTGTTATAAGACCTTCAAATAATCATGGGGCGCCTGGGTGGCGCAGTCGGTTAAGCGGCCGACTTCAGCCAGGTCACGATCTCACGGTCCGTGAGTTCGAGCCCCGCGTCAGGCTCTGGGCTGATGGCTCAGAGCCTGGAGCCTGTTTCCGATTCTGTGTCTCCCTCTCTCTCTGCCCCTCCCCCGTTCATGCTCTGTCTCTCTCTGTCCCAAAAATAAATAAACGTTGAAAAAAAAAATAATAATCATGCTAAAATAACTGGAAAAGCAGTGGAAAGTTCTACTCACTTTTTTGGCTGTATAGCCACCGCCAACAGCAGATCCTAGTATGAGATATCGAAGTTTTAAGAGTCTTGCAGCTAATCTCGCTGGCCAAAAATTCCTGCGAGGCTGGTAGCCATATTTAATTGGAGAAAGCTTCAATTTACGTAACGGAAGGTTAGCTAAAGAGGAGAACTGATGAAATGATGTCCGGAATTGGGGTCTTTGAAGCTTTAAGGTAGGATGATGTGAATGATAAACACTTCGTGAAACCAGATGCAGTTTTTGTAGTGGTAAGCTTCCTTTGATTCCAGAGCTACGTTTCACTAAGGATTGGCAGACCTCACTGAAAAGAAAACCAAAATGGGACAAAGATCAGACCGGGTAACAATGAGAAGGAAACGACATAAAAAGAGCAGTATGCACAAGAGAAAATGCACATGGGTGCATGTGACCAAGCACACGACATCATACCATAGCTTACATTAACCACTTACTCCATTTCCAGGCACTGCTGCGGCATGTGCTACCTCATTTAATCCTGCTAAAAATCCTACGATGAAAGTATTAGTATTACCTCCATCCTACCAACAAGGAAAAGATGGCACACACACACACACACACACACACACACACAACTTGTCTAAGTGCACACTTATATGAAGATTCAAACCGACGCAGTGGGACTCCAGAGCCCTCCCTCTCATTTACTACATGCAGGCTATCCCAATCCAAGGAATTGAGATGAAAAGAAAAAAGGCAGAGACTTATTTTATTAACCACTATTCACTGTCAGTAAAAGTGAAAACAAAATGAATGCAAACCTGCTTTCAAACACAAAAATTCCAGCAGCTTAGAACAGCTATTCTTTGGTCTCTCCTCTACGTCTCATGATCCTGAGACAGCCCAGGGATGGAAATTAAGGAAAAAATCATTACCATATAAAGTACCTGGCTGAAAGTTTCTGAGTAGAGTAAGTAAGAGTAATCAAACAGCAATGAAAGAAGGTTATTAAAGGCAACATCCTACAGACTGAATGTTTGTGTCCCCCCAAAATTTGTATGTGGAAGCCTAATCCCCAACATGAAGTATTTGGAAGTGAGGCCTTTGCGAGATAATTTGGTTTATTTGTAGTCATGGATGTGCCCATGTGTTGGGTGCCCTTATAAGGAGATGAAGAGCACAGATTTCTCTGTCATGTGAGGACACAGAAAAAAGATGCCCCCACCTAGGAACCAGGAAGTGATTCCTCAGCAGACATCAAATATGCCAGCACTTTGATCTTAGAGCTCACAGCCTCCAGAACTGTGAGAAATAAATGTTTTCCTGTTGAAGCCGCCCAGTGTTTGGTAATTTGGGGAGCAATAAGGCGATCATGTATCAGTTGCACAGATACAAGAGAAGACACTAAAGTGAGGTGGCAGCACTAAGAAAGGAAAGGGAAAGGCAGATACCAGAATGATGGACTAGACACAGGAGACAAGGAAAAGAGTAAATAGTAATCCTAAAGTTTTAGCTGGGAGACTAAGATTACTACACTTACAGATATAAAACAATCAAGAGCCAAACCAACTGGGGGAATAGCCCACGGCTTCGTAACACTTGGCTCAAACTTCTTTCAACCCTGTCCTTATAGCCAGCCACTTAGTGTTTTGAGTCAGATAAACTTTGGTTCCAGTTCCAGTTTCACTGCTTACTCATGTGCAATCAAGGGCAAATTATGAATTTACCAAAGCCTCAGTTTTTTTAATCTGTTCAAACAGGATTACGTCTACATCAGAGTTATTGTCAATAATCACTAATTCAAGTATCTTCTTCTCAGACCATAATCCCCTTCACTACAACCATCTTTGGCCCTATAGGAACAGCCAGGTCATGGATACTTCTATCTTCTCCCTAACCTATCAGTCTCCACCTTATCTATTTACCTAGTTAGCCTGGTTCATAGTCTTAAAGGCTCTTTTGCAAATACTCTAAACTCCCTTGCCCTCTGACTTTCTGTTACACTTGTTTGGCAATATGCAAACCCTGGATGAACCTTATTATCACTTTAAGCCTGTACCAAGGGAATGAAGCACTACTGAAGAAAGTCACACCCAATTGGACAGACATCTCAGCTAGGCCCTAAAAACAGCTTGGCCATCTTACTTTTTATCAATTCATTCTTCCACTCTCTGCTAGGACTATTTCAGATGTTCCCCCACCCACCTCTACCCTCCCACATCTCTCCTTGTTTCCTCCGACTCTTGGGAGAAAATGGAAGCCATCAGAGAGACACAAGCTGTTGCTTACCTACCGCATTGACACCCACCCTCCTCCACAAGCCCTGTAAGATTACAGTAAGGAAGTACTCTTCTGCCTTTTAAAGGCAAATCCCTGTTTCCTCTGAATTCCTCCTTTCTTTTCAGGAATCACTAGTCAAGTCTCTGTCAGTTTAAAAAAAATTTTTTTTTTTCCAACGTTTATTTATTTTTGGGACAGAGAGAGACAGAGCATGAATGGGGGAGGGGCAGAGAGAGAGGGAGACACAGAATCGGAAACAGGCTCCAGGCTCCGAGCCATCAGCCCAGAGCCCGACGCGGGGCTCGAACTCACGGACCGCGAGATCGTGACCTGGTTGAAGTTGGACACTCAACCGACTGCGCCACCCAGGCGCCCCAAGTCTCTGTCAGTTTAAAGGAGAGAAAGACAGACCCCAGTTCCCTGCTCTAGCTCCTCTATTAAAAGCCAAACCAACCTGATTTCCATTTGTCTCACTTCAGTGAAACAGCCCTCACCGTGTGCCCTGAAGGCTTCCAGTGGGCATTTGTTTTTTCGATTCGCATTTTCTTTGTCTCGGCAATATCTGACACCATTGACACCCCCTCCTTGTTGGAACGCCCTCAATCTCCGCAGTCTCTAGCTTTACTCCTACTCGCTGGCCACTCCTTTTCAGGCACCTCCTCCCCAACAACCTTTTAAATGTTGGGAGTTCATCGGGCTTAGATGTAAAGTCACTTGTCTTCTCAGTCTACCCATTCTTCCCAGGCAACCTTATCCACACCCATCTCCTCAACTGCCATCTGCATATCCACGTTTCTCAAAACTTGTACGTCTAGTACAAACAGTTAAGTTCCAGATCCTTGTGTCCAACTGCCTACTGAACACCACCCCTTAGATGTCAAAGGAGTACCTCAAATTCAAGATGTTCAAATCCATGCTATCTCTCCTCCGTCCCTCCCAAACCCTGGCCCCCGTCCAGGACTTCCTATTTCAGGAAAAAGCACAAGCACCTATTCAGTCGCATAAGCCACAAACTTGGGCTCATTCTTGATACTTTCCTCATCCTCAAGTTCTGTTCATTCTACTTCCAGCATACATCTCCAGCCTTCCACTCTCCCATCTCCACTACCACCATGCCTCGCCTGGGCTTGCAACAAGTCTGGACTGAGGTGTTCTCCACAGCACAACAGGGCACTCTTCTGAAATGTCAACCTGATCACTGTCACTCACATGGGTCAATCTCCCTCAATGTCTCCTCCTGCATTTAGAATAAAAATCCAAACTCCTGGTCTATAAAGCCCTGCCTCTCTCCCTCTAACCTCAGAGCTCTACCCAGACCAATGTTCACGTAGCTCCTCGACTGTGCCATAATCCTTCCCATCTCAGGGCCTTGATGCCCACTGTGCTTGGGCAAACCCTTCTACCTTCTTAACTCCTGTTACTCCTGTGAACTCTGGTCACTAATGGTTTCACCTCAGTATCCCTTTCTCTCCTGGCATCGAAATTCTCACTCGAGTTCCTCTGCTACAGTTCTTAGTTCCCTGCACTTTTCTTTAGGGTACATAAAATTTGTTTAACATAATAATGTAATTATTGCATTAATATTTATCTCTACTAATAAACTATAATCTTCATAAGGCCAGGGAGGGGTCTTGTCTGTTTTGCTTACCATTGTATTTCTAAAGCCTAGCCCAATGCTTCACAAGCAGTAGACACTTAATAAATCTGCTGAATAAACATATGTTATTGGGAGAACAAAACCAAAACAAAAGGTGAAAGAACCTAGCAATGACCACACAGTAAGTGCTCAATAAATGTCATTTCAACAATAACTGCCCTAGCCTCTACTAATGTATTCATGAGTAGTCCTTTATCCCTCAAAAGTTGTTTGCTTTTTTAAAGAAAGTAGTTAATCTAAATATATATCCAAATAGATAAACTCCAGACCCAAGTAGTCATATTGCTAAAATGTTTTGGCTTTTAGTTATTTTCTTCCTTTTTTATTCCCAAACCTCTAAAATCCCTGTTTCCACAATGGTGGCAACAACAGCTGTGGGTGACACCAAGAAAAAAGAGTATTTGGTTGTCCAAATCAGGAACCACATGTAAAATGTTCTTCAATCAATCCCCTGGAAAAGCTAATTGACTCAAAACAAAATCCTAGTACTTGGGAAGGTATCCTCAAGTATTATTTCCAGAGCTTCCAATTCATGGTGGTACTCTAAAAGATCAATGCTCATACAGGAGAGACTCTTTTCCACAAAAGGGTCCTCTTGAGATATAGGTAAGAGAGTAAAAAGAGGAGAAGAAATTGAGATTTACTGAAGCACCATCTGGGGAAAGGCTGTGTCACCCTCAGTCCAGTGCAGCTGAATGTTAAAATATGAACACTTGCCCCCAGGATGAACAATCTACCAGGGAGGAGCTAAAGCTCATGTGTGTGTGGGGTGCAGGGCAGGGAAGGTCTGGGAAGAAAAGAAAAACAGGATACCTACAAACACAGAGAAATCAGATTGTCCCAACAGTCTGTATTCCGTGTTCGTTGACAAAGGATGCCAGAAAAAAATGTGGTAGTGCCTTTACAGTTCTGAAGGAAAAGTATTTTGAATACAGACTTCTACATTTGGCCAAAGTGAAAATCAAATGTGATGCAAAGCAAGCTCTTCTGCTGCCCCCGAAACCATCTATTCTCTCTCCTCTACCATCTCTTTTAACCTATGCATCATTTCCTAATACATAATTCTCTTTTCAACAAGTTTACACAAATATTTATTGCACCTAAATATGGGAGTATGTATTTAGATATGTATGTCAAAAAATGTTTATGTTCCCATCTGTTTAAGAATGGGAATTCAGGGACACCTGGGTGGCTCAGTCAGTTAAGGGTCTGACTTCAGTTCAGGTCATGACTTCACAGTTTGTGGGTTCCAGCCCCATGTCGGGCTCTGTGCTGACAGCTCAGAACCTGGAGCCTGCTTCAGATTCTGTGTCTCCCTGTCTCTCTCTGCCCCTCCCCTGCTTGCACTTGGTCTCTTTCTCAAAAATAAATAAACATAAAAATTTTTAAAAAAAGAATGGAAATTTAAGTGTACTCCTTCATAACACGTATTCTTCTTTGCAGAAGAAATACAGCAAAAGACAAATTTCAGAGCTGAGGCTTCTAACTTTCCAGATCTCTACTTCTGCAGGGTAGCTAAACTGCACTATCAACATAAGACACTTTTAAGCCATGACTTTGCAGAGTCTATAGTAACTTTAGAAATAATTTACCCCAACGACATCCACAAACAAATATGTCAGTTATTAATTAGTTGTTGTTAAGGTCAATTTTTAAAGTTTTCCTACATATCTTAATTGTTCCAATGAAGTATGCTATTTTTGGCAAAGTCTTTTCTCTTTTTATTCAAATAAAATTAGATAGGTTTCTCCAGGAAATAGTGAAGAGTAGAAATAAAAAAGTAGTAAATAATCTACCGCAGTTATCAAGGGCTATGGATTTACTCAGAAACTCAAATTCCATTAAATTAGAAATAACTATTCACTTATTCTAATTGACTGTAACTGTTGTATGTCATCTGATTCTAAATATAGACTCAAATTAACCTTTATAAAACAAATGGATTCCATTCCTTATAAACACTATAAATTACCTACACTATTTAAACAACGTTCTGAAAAAAATTCAAGACAGGTGTTTGGAAGCTAATTCAGGAAAACCAAGTTTTTCCAACCTTAATTGATGCATATTACTTCTTCTCAAAAGCCTGCAACAATGAGTTAAGCCTGAAAGTATCTAAGGATATTAGAACACAAATATGTGTCAAGATAAAGTCAAATTTAAATCTCTTTAAAATGCCCGTAGTAACCCGCAGAAATGAAAAAACTCCTATGATTTTCTACTTAGGATTAAACGAGGCCAGGGCAAAAATAAATGTGATTAGAAAGCTGGTGCTATATTCACCACTTCGCATCCAAAGCAAGCCTTTCTCCCTAACACTGAAAAGCTGCTATTAACAGGGTATCTCTAATCACCACCTCGGCCACCATTTGCGTCACTGCTTCAGATCTGACTCCAAAGCAAGTCTAGTCTGCGGACGAAGGCAAGAGGCAGAGTCCTCTTTACCCTAGCAGAAGACAGAGTACCTGCAGGAGCAAGGCACACCTGGCGTGGAAGCAGAAGAAAAAGAGTTAAGAGGGACACGGCGAGGGGAGGGAGAGGGCAGAAACAAGAAGCAACCAGAGACAGAGATAACAGCGAGGGCAGAAAGGTGAAAGAGGACAGGGACAGAAGGACAACAGAGAAGGCCAAGACTGAAAGGAGCCCAGAATCTTCTGGCGGCACAGAAAACAGGCACAAGGGCCGGTACTGCAGCCGGGACTTCAGGTAAGCCCAGTCAGGGCTCCTGTAACTACGGGTCCTCAAAAATATCCCGGAATCCTCCAACCGCCCTCCGCCTGGCCTGAGAGTTAGGTGCACATTCTGGAGGTAGTGATGGGATAACCCGGTTTTCCGGAGGCCCCCCAAATAACGGGGCCAGGTCTGAGCCCGCACTTACCAAGCCACGGCGGCTCGGCGTAGTCGCCACATCCCGCCGGCGAGGAGGTCACACGGGCGCCGAGAGGGCCACGCCGGAGCCCCGGTGTCAGCCCCAGTCCGGCCCCTGCTCCAGGAGTGACCCAGGAAGAGGCCCTCGGCAACAAGGGCACAGAGCAGCTACTGCGGCCCTCCCAATGGCGCATGGACTTCCGCGAGAGCCCGCCCGGCACCCGTACTCTGTCCGTCAGGAAAATAAGCACCACCCCCGCCACGCTTCCTAGGAGGGCAGCACAAACGGTCCGTGGAGGATTAGTGCCTGCGCTCAGAGCCTCCAGAGGAGACAGCCGCATTCCGCCTCCCACCACCCCTTCCCTCCTTCTTTGTTTCCGGGTTGGAGTTACGAAATTGAGTTTTCCAGGTCAAAGATTTGGAGAGGTGAGGGGTTGAGAGTTGGGCAGGGACTGACAGGGTGCCGGGCGAGGAAACCGGATTGATAAATTCTCTCTGGGTGGCTGCCAATTTAAGAAAATGTAGGTATTTACGGAGCTTGGAGGAGCCTAGCGAGTACAAAATGAATACAGTAATAGTGTAATAGAATAATGAAAAACAACGGTTGCCCCACTCTTTTGTTCGGTGTCTTTGTTTATAAAACAATCTCAGAACAATCTTGGGAGGCAAGAGGAGTCATGGACTGATTAAGTGCTTTAGAATCTCTGAAGGTCGGATCTGAGAAGGGCTCCGATGAATTAGACCAGCTGTGGGTTTGCAATAAGCTTGAGCAGTTTATAAAGGCATCACAAATGATTTTGTTTGCTCTTTAACTGGCTTTCGTCTGACTTTAACTCATTTGTTGAAATGGCTTGCGTCAAGGCTTCCAACAATTCCATATTGTCAGTGGACACTGGACTTCTCAGCATTCAGCTCAGAAGCCTGGGTGCTCAGCGCTCTCCTTCTTTGTTGGCTTCCCTCTCCTGGTTTTCAGGACATAACGTTCTCCTTTTCTGCTCCCCATTCTCCTTTGCTGGCTCCTCTCCCAAAAACTCTCCGTGTAAGAGGGTCCCAGATTTCAGAGATCCGGGGTCCCTTTCCTTCTCTATCTTCATTTTCTCCCTAAGTAATCTGAATCAATTCTAGGACTTTAAATACGTTTTCCCCTTACTACTCTTGTCATTTTATGAGGAAACTGGGGCCCATAAAAGGGATGTGACCTGTGAAACGTAATGAAGTTATTTAGTGGCAAAACCAGGACTAAAATCAAAGGGCCCCCTCTTCACTTCAAGGGCACCCCCCCCCACACACAAAATATTGAAAAATTCCTTTTTCCTTAGTCATCAGAATCCTAAGTCAGTATCCATCGATTCACAACAAAGCCAAGTAGTAGACCTAGCCATTAGCAGTAAACTTCCCAAATGCAGGACTCCAGGATTTTCTTTATTATATTTATTGTGGTAACTGTTTTAGTGACAGGTACAGATAGGAACTTGCTATACTGACCTACGCAAACTGTAGTTTTTTCCGGGATTGTAGAGTTGTGCAAAAATTCCTTTGTTACTGTTGCTTCCTAGTTGTTTTAGAAAAAAATAAGAGAAACCAAACAGTGGTAACCTCTTTCATGTATGGGTTATCTTTACATTTCACAAGGCCCTTTTTTTTCAGTTCTACTTCTAGGCGTTTATCCCACTGAATCATTCCCACATGTGCAAAGACATACATGTGATGTTTATGTTTGCCTTGCATGTAATAACGAAAGGTTGGAGGGGGCGCCTGGGTGGCTTAGTTGAGCGACTGAATTCAGCTCAGGTCATGGTCTTGCAGTTTGTGAGTTCGAGCCCCGCATCAGGCTCTGTGCTAACAAGCAGCTCAGAGCCTGGAGCCTGCTTCTGATTCTGTATCTCTCTCTCTCTCTCTCTCTCTCTCTCTCCCCCCCTCTCTCCCCCCCTCCCTCTCCCCTGCTCATGCTCTGTCTCTCAAAAATAAATAAATGTTAAAAAAAATAAAAAATAAATGAAAGGTTGGAATCAGCATTGTTAAAAGATAAATTGAGGCATCTTAAAAATTGTAAGAGGTTATTTGATCAAAAATTGATTTGAATTCAGCAGTGCCGAGCCAGAAGTGGTTAGGAATGCTGCATCAACAGGAGTCAGTGGCAAGACTGACTATATCAAGAAGAAAGGGAAGCAAAACAAGGAAATTATTTGATTGGCTTTAGCTTTATGTGGTTGCCTTATTTGGGAAAGCCTCATTGGCTGTGATTGGTTGCCTTAGGTATGCTTTCTTAACCTTAATGTATTTATAGGCTTTAGGTTTTGGTTTGCTTAGTAGGCTGCCAAGGCGTTAGGACCAAATTGGTCTATATATTCAGCCCATTCTCAACATAATTTCAGCAGGCACATATTGTAGAAATTAACAAACTATTCTAAAACAAGGAACAAAACTAGAGTATTTACAACTATTTGACTTCAAGGCTTACTATTATAATCAAGACAGTATAGTATTGGGATAAGAAGAAACAGATCAAGGGACCAAAATAGAGGGTTCAGAAATAGACCTCCATTTGTACAGTCAATTGTTTTTTGACAAAAGCACCAAAGCAATTCAATAAAGATGGAAGTTGTTTCAATAAATGATGCTAGAACAATTGGATATCTATGTGGAAAAGAATATACCCTACACATGCTATACATAAAATTTAATATAAATTTATATCATATACAAAAACTAGTATATACACAAAAGTTGTGTACGCTGGGACATATCCCTAAATGTAAAAATAAAAAGCTCTAAAGCTTTTGAAGAAAATAAAAAATATCCTTGCAACTTGGGAGTAGACAAAGATTTCTTACGTCACAGAAAGTAATACCACAAAATAATAAAATTAATAAATTTGGACTTCATCAAACTAAAGTACTTCTGCTAATGAACTAACACCACTGATATAATTTAACAGACAAGCATCACATTGGGAGAAAACATTTTTTAAATATATATCTGACAAAGTATACATATCCAGAATATATAAGAAATTTTTGGAGCACCTGGGTGGCTCAGTCGTTTAAGCATCTGACTCTAGCCCAGGTCATGATCTTGCAGTCTGTTAGTTTGAGCCCTGCCTCGGGTTCTGTGCTGACAGTCAGCTTGGAGCCTGCTTCAGATTCTGTGTCTCTCTCTCTCTGCCCCTCCCCTGCTCTCTCTCTCTCAAAAATAAGTAAATGTTTAAAAAAATGAAAAAAATCTCACAACTCAGTAATAAGATAAACAACCTGCTATCATTTGAATGTTTGTATCATCCCCCTACCCCTGCCAAATTCCTATGTTGAAATCCTAATGTCCATAATGTGTTGGAATTAGTGACCTTTGGGAGGCCTTAAATTATGTGAGTGGAGCCCTCATGAATGAGATTAGCAACCTAAAGGAGACCCCATATGGCTTTCTAACTTCTCCACCATGTGAAGTTCCAGCAAAAAAAAATTTATGAACCAGAAAGAGGCTCTCACTGACCAGAACAAGACCATTATATATATATACGTATATATATATATGTATATATATATATATACATATATATATAC